GAGGAATTCTCTTTAGTTACCCAGTCACTTTTCAATAAACATGAAATGAGGAAGCAATAGATGGATGACTAGGAAAACAATATTTAAGCTTTTCTCAACTTTTAGCTTTTATTAGTATATGTTGATAGTACACAGAGATTGCATTTCTTGTACTGGTACATTTACATAACACATCTTAATTTTTTTTTAATCCCTTCCTCTTCTCACCCTCTGCCCTCCTTTCATCTCTTGTTTCCCTTCCCTTTTGTAAAGATCTGTCTTCCTAATTCCCATTTAGTTTGCTCTTTGGTTATATTTTGGGTTTCTCATAAGAGAAATTGTATGATATTTAAGCTTCTGTGTCTGGTTCATTTCATTTAACATTATTATCTCAAGGGATATCCATATTGGTACAAATTACTTGTTTATTCTTTATGCAGAGTGGCACTCTATTGTTTATATATGCTTCATTTTAGAATTCATTCACCTGTTAAAGGACATACAGGCCACTTCCAAAATTTAGTTATTATGGATTGTGCTGCTATAAATATAGCCATGCACCTTTAACTCTTGGGAAGATACTAAGAAAGGGAAAAAAATGGGTCAGCTGGAACTTGTAATTTTAGTTTTTGAGGAATCTCCATTCTGATTTTCATAATTATGTACTAGCTTGTACTGGAAGCAACAATTTAAAAGTATCCCCCCTCCCTTTTTACAGCTTTGCCAACATTTGTAATTATTTGATTTCTTGATGTCAGACTTTTTTTCCCTGAAGTAAGATGAAATCTCAGAGCTATATTAATTTGCATTTCTGTAGTGGCCAGTCAAGTTGAATATTTTTTTTTTTTTTTTGGTACCTGGGATTGAAATTGGGTCCTTGAGCTTTTGAGGCAGGCGGCAGAACCACTAATCTAAATTCCCCTGCCTCCGTAGCTCTTTTTGGAGAGAATCTTTTTTTGGGGGTATATTTTTTTGAATTCTTTATATATTCAAAGAATCATTAAAGGAACATGACAATTAATAATGGTGAATGACATTCAGCAGTCCCATTCACCTGTTTTACTTCCTGACAACTGTTTTGTAAATCTTCAGTACCCCTTGCCCCATTTTTTTAATAGTAACATGCAAATCAGCTGAGAAGAGCTAGTTTATATAGTCATACCTTTACGATATTGTGGAATTAAACTACAGAAATAAAATAAATATTTCAGTGAAATGAGTCACTTTTTTTTATTTCTTAGTGTGTATATCATAGTCTGTTAAATGTGCACTAGCATCAGGGCTAAAAAACAATATATGAAGCATTTCTTCATATTTGGAAATTAAATATTTCTTAACTTTACAATACTTTTTTCCTAAAAGATATTAACAGTTGTCTGAGATTTTAGCGAATTCTAATTATTTTGATCAGGGAAGGTCATACCTTGATGTTAAATGTTGCTGCCTGGCTGTGATAGAGTTTGCTGCAAGATTACTGAAATGGCTGTGGCACTTTCTTAAAATAAGACAGCAGTTAAGTTTGTTGCCTCACTATACTCTTTCTGGGCTAGGATTGTATTTCACTAGTAAAGAGGTCCTGTGGTGGGGTCACCAAATACAAATCAAGATAAAATACAAATCCAAAATAAATAGAAAACAAGACAAAATAACAACAGCAAAAAATAAAAGAGCACATCATGGTGGCATATGCCCATAATTTCGATATCCTGGGAAACTTATGCAAAGGATAAGAATTTTTAACTAATCCTAGGCAATATAATGTGTTACAGAGACCTTATCTCAAAAGTATAAAGAGTGAGAAAAAGGGGAGGAGTCTCGTGGCCTAGTGTTTAGGCCCTGGCTTAATCCTCAGTACTCAAAATGAAAATAAAATGCACACTCTTTCTTTTACAAAAATTTTTTTGTAACATGTAGTACCCCTAGAGTTAGAATTTTCCCTCATAGTAGCTGGGATTATAGTCATGTCGTCAGTTTGGCAATTTTGCCAAAGTTGAAATTTGTAGTTAGCTAATATAATTATATTGTAAAATAATTTCATGTTTTAGCTTGCAACTTAGTTTTTGTACCTGTGCACAGAGAAAATGCTTTTGGGACTATACGAATCACATGCCGTTCTAAGCATTAAATATCTGGGTGTGTAGCACAATTTAAAATTCTGGGATTGTACATATGTGTTTGCTCTTTGTAGTTGAGTTTAAAGTGGCTTGTTTTAAAAGAAAAGAAAAGCATAGGTCCCAGGAGTTGCTGCCAAATTCCTCAAGAGCTTTAGAAGAATCTATTGCCAGTAGTACTCAAACATTTAAATGAAACTGAAAGAGAAACAGTACTCCCAAAGTAATTTTTGGACACAGCTATTATCCTGATTTCAAAATCAAGAAGGGACCCAGCACAAAAAAAGAATTAAAGGCCAATATCTATATTGAATATAGATGCAAAAATTCTAAATAAGATATTGGCAAACAACATTCAGCAGATCATGAAAAAACATACATGATGACATCGGATTTAATCCACGGATTCAGGGATGGTTCAACAAATGCAAACCAATAACTATACTATACAAATAGAAGGAAAAATTACATGGTCACCTTTGTAGACTCAAAAGAAGTATGTGACACAAGCCAACATTCATTCATGATAAAATCCTGAAGAAGTAGGTCATTTCAAGCTAATAAAACTATCTTTGACAAAGCAGTGAGCAATGTAACTTTTTTGTTTGTTTGTTTGTTTGATACAGGGCCTCACTATGTAATTGAGACTGACCTGAAACTCACTGTATAGTCCAGGCTGGTCTTGAACTCACAGTGATCCTTCTGCCTCAGCCTCCCAAGTGCTGAGATTACAGGCATGTGCCACCACATCCTTAGTGTAACATTAAATGGAGACAAACTGAAAGTTTTCTCTAAAATCAGGAACAGGATTTCCACTGTCACCCTGTGCTTCAGTATAGTCCTTGAAAGATTTACCAGAGTAATCAGGCAAGAGAAAGAAATAAAAGGGATATGGACAGAAAAAGAAGTTAAAAGGGCCAGGGATTTAGCTCAGTGGTTCCGCTGCCTGCTTCGTAAACACAAGGACCTGAATTCGATTCCTGGTACAAAAAAAAAAAAAAAAAGTAAATTATTATTGCCAAATGGCATGACCATATACATAGAAGACTCTAAAAACTCCAACAACAGATTCCTAGAAATTAACAACCAAATTCACTAGTGCTGCAGGATGTAAAGTCAATACTCAAAAATCAATAACATTTTTGTACACCAATGATAAATTCATAGAAAAATATCTTTCACAATAGCATCAAGAAAAATTAAATATTCAGAAATTACTCCAAGTAAAGAAGTGAAAGAGCTGTACAAGGAAAACCACTGTACCCTGATGAATGAGATAAAGGGGACACCAGAAAATGGGATGGTATCCCTTGTTCCTGGATAGGCTAAACTGTCATAGCTAAAATAGCTATATTTCCACAGTTGCCATACATAGGGCTGGCATAGGGTTTAGCTCACTGAAGCCAAACACCCTCACTGGATGAAAGATAACCTCTTTAATGGTGCTGGAAAAATTGGGTTTTCAGCTTGCCAAAGATTAAAACTAGACTTATATCTCACCATGCACTAAACTAAAATTAAAAGGGATCAAAGATCTAAACATTGAAACAAATAGTAATCTGTTTGGAAGAGAGGTTAGGTAGAACTCTTGAAGATGGTGTACAAAATGATTTCATGAACAGAACCTCAGTCACACATAAACTAGCACAAAGAATCAACAAGAAGGATCTCATCTTATTAAAAAGCTTGTACGCAGCAAAAGAGTAAGGAGACAACCCATAGAAAACCAACATAAATCTGCCAGCTCAAAAATCAGAACTCAGAAAATTAGACTGACCATTTAATATTAAAGACCCAGTAAAAAAATGGGCATAAATGGAGAGCAAGTACATGAAAACAGTGTTCGCTATTACAGGCCATTTGAGAAATGCAAATTACAAAAACATGAAAGTAAATCTTATTCCAGAAAGAGTGGTCGTCATCAAGAAGCAAGAAAATAACATGCTGAAGAGATTTCAGGGGAAATTGTTGTTTGGGAGTATAAATTGATAATACTACTTTATTAAAATGGCTATTCCTTAATGAAATAAAAATAAAAATTCCACTTGACCAAGTTATTGTTCTAATAGCTGTCTTCCTCAAAGAGATAAAGCATAATCATAATTCAGTGATACATGGATACCTATTTGTAGCAGTACAATTCATAGTAGCTAAATCTTGGAAGCAGCCTAAATGTCCGTCAATGAATGAATAAGGAAAATGTAATATTTATACATGAAGAAGTTCTTATATAATGTAGGAGAAACATGAGTCATATGTAGAAAAATGGGTGTAGAATGAAAGCATAATGATATGTGAAGTAAATCAGACATACATTAAATATCACTTCTTTTATATGAAAAACTCAATACATTAAAAAAATACAAAATAAAAGACAGACAATAGGCATAAAATAAGAGAGAAAAATAAGCCTTTGTAGTCCAGGATGGTCAGTGTATTTACAGGTATACTTTCATTCAGTATAATTGTCTTATAAAGTGTTTTATATTTTTTTGGTATATTAATCTTCTGTTAATCTTTTAGTGATAAATAATAAAGACATGAATAAATGAATCTGATGCTGGCCAAAAAAAAAAAAAAAAAAAGAATGAAGGGGAAAGGGAAAAAAATTTGAGATGTATTACGTACATGTACCAATTCCCTAAGTGAATGTACTACAGTCTTTTAGTAATAAAAATTAAAAAATAAGAAGTCAACATGCTTATTTTAATTGTTGAAAATTAGATGTTGATCTGAAAATTGAAAATTTGTCAGAAGAATTGGTAGAGCATTTCAGAAACTTACTGTTTTACTTCAGTTAAAAATAACTAGTGTCTGTGTTCTTCTAGGTAGTTTATAAAATACAGATTTATAAAACAAATTTATAAAACATAAACTTAATGTATTAATATTCTCACTTTCTTCTTGCAGCATTTTCAGTTAGCATTGATTGATTGTAATCCTTGTACTTTGTCCACGGCTGAAAGTAAGTATTTCTAAGTATGTTACTTGTTTCTGTCTTTTAAGCAACAGAATATAAAAAAGTTTTTTTAAAGTATGTTGTAGTAAGGATGGAATAGTACAGTGTATGTATGATTCAGTGAGTTATGTTATTTTAGTTTAGTTTGAGTTTTGTGTAGTTATACTTTGGTATAGTTATAGTTTGAGTACCTTTTTTTATTTAAGAAAATCAGCAGTGATAATTATTGAATTGTTTTCTTTTTCTTTTTCTTTTTTCTTTTTTTGGTACTGGGGATCAAACTGGATCCTTGTGCTTGTGAGGCCGGAGGCAGAACCACTGAGCTAAATCCCTGGCCCTTGTTTGTTTTCTTACAGAGCAGTTATACAGATTGCCTACTTTGTCCACAATATTATTATAGGATATTATTTTCTTGTACTTTCACTTTTTTGCGGGGGGAGGCAGGGTCTCCCTCTGTAGTTCAGTCTGTGTCTGAACTCACTATGTAGCACAGGCTGAATTTGAACTTGAGTTGATCCTTCTGCCTCAGCCTTCTGAAATTACAGGGTGTGCCACCACAACTTACTCATATTGTCACTTTTTAATTAAAAAAAATAATCTGACCCCCTTTAATGTCTTATGTCTAGACTGTCTTTGAAACTTTCATATACTTTTGATATTACAAAAATCATGTTTTCAAAGCAAAGTTTAAAAACTAAGTAAAATTACTTTTTTTTTTTTTTTTTTTTTTTTTTTTTGGCTTTTTGAGACTGGGTCTCACTATGTAGTTGAGTTCCAACTTACTATGTAGCCTAGGCTGGTCTCAAACTCACAGTGATCCTCCTGCCTCAGCCTCCTGAGTTCTGGGATTACAGGCGTGCACCACTACTCCTGGCAAAATTACTTCTTTTTAATAGGAGAATCATTTATTTATTTTATCTTTAGTAAGTTTTTTGGTACATGTTAGGTATTACAGCACAGTTACATTCATCATTGGGATCTTGTACCAAACGTGATGTACCAGGTTTATTTTTCCCCATTCCCCAGCCCTTCCTTCATTCCCTCCACCCTTCCCTGTTTAACAGACATTGTTTCCATGTTTTTCCTTTTCACAAATTTTTTCTTTTCCCGTTTTCCTTTTGCCCTACCCCTCACACTTCCACTACTCTTTGAGACCTTTTCTTCCTGTTACACAATAAGTGAATTACTTTATAACACATAGGGATTTAAAATAAAATACACTGTTTTTGAAACTATGGTGGATGACTATATAAATACTTTTGAGAAGAATCAGTTAATATAAAACAACATTATATGATTCTTTTTTTTGTACGGGGATTGAACTCAAGACCTTACACTTTTGAGGCAGCTGGAGGCACCACTGAGTTAAATCCTGGGCACTATATGATTGTCTTTTGAGGTAATAATAATGTTTATTCTAGAATTTTAAAAGTAGTATTTTGGTATAAAGCTTAGTTTCAAGACATATTACTATATTTGTGAATTTTAATTATAATTAAAACTTTGAGAGCTTGCGATTTAACTCAGTGGTGCCACCCCTGGTCTTTGCAAGCTCAAGGTCCTGAATTCTATCTCTGGTACCTATTACTAAACCCCCCCAATTGTAATGGTGAGCATTTTCCTAGCTGGCTGTTATGTTGTTCTACTGTACATTTAAAAAAGAAATGGAGATGTCTGGGAATGTGTCTTTAGTGGTGCTTTGCCTGCCTGGCAAGTAAGTGCTAGTGCATGAGTTCAGTTTCTAGAAATGGAAAAAAAGAAAGAAATAGAGAGTGTATACCTTATAAAAGATGACACTGTATTTATGAAATAGTGAGGTCTGTCATCAGCCATGTCAGTAATTCTGGAGTAAGTTGGAAGATACTTCAATAGATTGATATAAATACAGGACATGTTGTAGTAAGGCAAGGTATATTGGGAAGAAAAAGTGATGAGGGAGAAAAATTCTTATTGTATGTAGATAAAGGAGTATTTGTATATATCAGAAGGTTTGATTGTGTTTTTATTCTCTTTTGCTGAAAGTAAAATATTTTTAATCTTATAGTTGATGTTCTAAAAATATTTATAAAGCAGTAACCTTGGTTCGTTCACAAAACTGCTTGGTTTTAGAGTAAATTAAAAAATTTGAATTACTGTCTTTTCTGTGAAATGGAGCTTGTAGTTTTGTAGTGCAGTCTTCTCTTCTTGACTGAGATGTAGATTTTTTTAAGACTTTGCATAAGTTTTTTGAATGAGAATATCTTAAGAGCTAAGCTTAGGAATGGTTAATTTTATGGGCCTGGGATTTAACTCAGTGGGGCCACAGCCTGCCTCACAAGCAGGAAAACTCCAGTTAGATCCCCAGTACAAAAAAAAAAAAAAAAAAAAAAAAAGAATTGTTAACTTTATATAGCTTCCTATGTATATTTTTATCTTTATGACATTTAGAAAGAATTGGTATGAGAAAGAGCGGATATGAATAAAGAGGAGTAAATGAAACGATGCCATACAAATTTCACCACTTGTGATGTTTCTTAAAAAGTCATTATATTCTCTATATAGTTTTGAAAGGTGTTTGCTATAAGTAGAAATCTCAGAAGCAACTTGTTTTTGATAGACAAAAAATTAGATATTTAGTTTTCAGTTGTAACTATCCACTGTGATTTAGTTGTTTTGATCAATATTACTGAATCATTTTTGCTCTGTCACCGGTGAACTGAGCATCAAGATGATCTACAAAAAAAGGAAGCCAAAACATTCTGCTTTTACTTGAGTTTTGAGATATAGTTGTTTCGTAGTCTTGATGTTTAGATGAATTTTTTTTTTTTTTTTTGTATGGGGAGATCAAACTCGGGTCCTTGTGCTTGTGAGGCAGACAGCATAGATGATTATTTTTTCCTTCCATCTTTAAATTATCTAACTTTGAAGAATTGAGAAAAAATTTATTTGTTATTCATAGTATCCTCATCTTTGGCTTTTTAAGAATTTCCAAAAGAAATTCATATAAAGATGTTCATTGATATGTTCTTAATGTATGATAACCAATAAAAGAAATTTTTCAGTATCATGTATGAAGATATGTGAAAGGTGTATATCTTTAATGTTTTTATCTTGAACTTTTTTGTGAAGTATATTAGCTATTTTTAATTAGTAGAAATGTAAGAAAGTAGATTATACTTTTATTTAATGACTTCATATGCATGTTACTATACTCATTTTAGTAGTTTTAATATTTTATTTTATTAACAAGAAAGCTCACCTAAATGCAATGTAGTTTTATAGTTTTAACATGTTCTTAAGTTTTATATTACTGCTACCTTAAATTGATTATATTGAAATTGATATTTTTCATGGTCTGTTGCAGTTAAATTTCATATTGCACACTTGTATGAAACCCAGGTAAGTATTTTAATTTACCTTTCTTAAATACATGAGCTAACAAATAACCAAATCTTCATCCATGAATGTAAAATAAAATGAATAAGTTTCATGTTTTAAATAAAATAAATATATCAGGTAGTATTTTTCTTCTGGGTATTATTCTTTAACATACGTTTGTGTTTCATCCTCATTAAATACGTTTTAAATTCTGTTTAGTGATGAAATTATTATGACAAATAGAATTTGAGATTTCTTTTAATTAATGTATAGTGGTTTTAGTTGTTATTTAGGAAGTATTTTATTTAATATGATTTTCTTTTTTGAAATATAAGTAAGAAGCTTTTTACTATTTTTATGTTTATTGTACTGCTTTTTAAAATGATGCTTATGTTTTTAGTAATATATTGTCCTAAAAGTTTCTTCTGATTTTCTTTGAGATTGGGATGTCTCTACACTTGATCTTAGCCAAAAGGCTGAGAAACAATGGGATATCTTACTTATTTGACATTAGGCTAGGAGAATTATAGCACTATATATATAGTCTCTTGTGAAAAATTGGGAAAAAATTTTAGGACAACGAAGAAATAGTATTTGTCTGTAATATAAGTAATGGAACATTTGAATTTTAAGTAGGAAATCTGACATACATTTAATTGCGTCATTTCTAATGTGTACGTAGAAAAAGCATTTTGAATGTGTATGTAATCTTTAGGTCTATTATCTCCTTCCTAAAACAAATACAAAATAATATATTAGAGGTAAATTGATGTGTGATATAAGATTATACCCACAGCAGGGCTGGGCCAGGAATTTAGCCCAGTGGTTCCACTGTCTGCCTCTCAAGTACAAGGACCTGAGTATGATCTCTGGTACCAAAAAAAAAAGTGGTAAAATGGATATAATAGTACACAGTATCCTTTATTGTTCATACTATTAGGAGATGTAGCAAGATAAAGATAGATCTATGGAAGATCCAACATGGAGAATTTTTTAAAAATTAAGTTCCTCTACTCATCTCTTCCTACTCTCCATGACACACACACACACACACTCTCTCTCTCTCTCTCTCTCTCTCTCTGAATAATAATTGATATGCCCACAAGTTAGGGTATTCTTCTACTCTAGAAATTAATTTATTTTGTAAAATTTATCTGAGAATTGATAACCTTACAAGAACGTTACAGGTAAATTTTTTAAAACTGCTGTTGGGATATTTAAAATTTATTTTCATTTGAAATTGTTTAATCCATTGTTGTAGGGAGAGTAGTTTAAAATGAAATTTTATCTCTTGTGATAATTTGTGCATATTGGTATATTATGATTCTAAACTTCTGTGAAATTTTTAATGAAAACTATAAATATTAAGCCAGAGTAGCTACTGCAGAATTTTTCCATTTGACTTTCTTTTTTTTTTTTTTTTTTTTTTTTTTTTTTTTTTTGGTTTTTATTTGGGACTAGGTCTCTCTATTTAATTTATTCTGGAAATGAGCTCACTATTGTTATTCAGGCTGGCATTGAACTTTTGGTGATCCTCCTGTTACAGCCTCCTGAGTGCTATGATTATAGGCATGTGTTGCTATGTTTGGCTCTATTTGAATCTTTTTAACTTTTTTTGAAACAAGATCTTCCTGTGTAGTTTAGGCTACCTTCAACTCATAGCTATCCTTCTGCCTCAACCTCCCATGTGCTGAGATTACAGGTGTGCACCACTATTCCTAGCCTTCATTTGAATCTTTAAAAAGTAAATTTTATCTTTTATTTATGTAGTAGATTTTTGAATAACATGGAAGGATGAGATCTAAGTTTAGTACACCTTTCTGAGAAGTAGAGATGTAGGTAGTACATTTATATGTGATAATTTTAGACGAGTGTATTTTTTTCAGTGAAGAATTTCATTTTTCTTGTTAATTTAAGGTCAATTAAAAATATTTAAAAAGTCATATAATATTCATGCTTTGTTAGACTTACTGCAATATTGAATATAATTTTCTATGAGTAAACAATGGAGGTATATGTGACTTTTCTTATTTTTAATTTCTTAACTGTATGTAAAAGTTATTTATAAACTTTTCCCCCAGCCTTGCAGTATGATTTTCCTGTCACTTGATAATTCCATACCCCACAACACTTGCAGCCTGACTCCAGTACTTTTGACTGAACCCATGGCCTTCTCATTTAGCTATATCCTCAGCCTTATTTTATTTATTTTTATTTTGAGAGAGGGTCTCAATAAATTGCTATGTTGTCCAGGTTGCTCTTGAACTTTTAGTTCTCCTATTTCAGCCTCTGAAGGTACTGAGATTATAGCTGTACAAGACCACACCCAGTTTACATTTTCTTAAAATTGCTAAATGAAAAAAATCATTGGTAGTGCAAGGTTCCTAGTTCAAGTCCCAGTATCCCCCCCAAAAAGTGATTGCCAGTCAAGAAATAGTTTTTGTGTTCTTTTTTAAACATGATTTTTCCTTTAATTTTTAATCATTTGGGTTATGTTGATCCTAAAAAAATACAAATCCTCAACAAAACACCTGGAAAAATAATACTAGCAACAGAAAAGAAATACTAGAACACAGAAAATTAGAAATACTAGAAATGCTTGAACACACAACATCAGTAACATCAGAATATCACAAATGATGAACAAATAAGATTTTCCCAGGAGCTGTAATATTTAATAATTAGTAAATATGATATTTAGTACATTGAGTGGACAAAATTATATTACAAAAGAACAGATATAGAAGAGGCCCATGATAAAATTTAGTATTTTTAATATAAAAGTCTTAACAAATTAGTATGCTGTAAAGGATGTACCTTAGTATAGTTAAGGCTGTAGATAACTATATCACAATTAATATTATAGTTACTTAGGAAAAAAAAATGAATGTTTTTCCTTTAATACCTGGAACAAGAAAAGGGTTACTACCTATCTTAAGTATTGTACTGGAAATTTTAGAATAATTAGGTAAGATAAAAATATATAAGCAGTACTGCTTAGAAGTGAGATTGTTTGCAGAAGACATGATTATAAGTGGAAAATTGTAGATACTCAGCCCCCTTCAAAGAAAACACTCCTAGCAGCAATTCAGTAAACTTATGGGAGAGAAAATGACTTTTTAAAAAACCCAGTAGCACTTCTTTATATTACTTCTATATACCGCTATATACCATCCCCAAAGAAATTAAGAAAACAGTTTACTTACAACCACATTGAATCATAAAATGCTTAGAAGTAAATTTAGCTGAAATGCTGTACACTGAAGATTTATTTGTACAGTGAAATTTAAAGCTTTGAAGAAATTGAAGTTGAATTATTTTGCAGAGAAAAAAATCTTTTCCTAAAATTTTGTAGAATCACAAGTAATGCTGAGTAAGCAAGCACCTTTGAGTAGGAGAAACAAAGTATGTGGCAGCACATTTTCTGATTTTTTAAAGTATGTCACAAAGCTGATGTAATTACAGTGCAAAGAACCTGGAGTTGTACCTTTATTTATGCTCAGTTGTTCTAGAAAATGCCAAGGATATGCAATAAATAAAGGGTAAATATTTTTTTAAATGATGTTTATAAAACTGGATGCACACATACTAAAAAATGAGATTGGATTATTATTTTAACACTATGCATAAACATTAAAAAATGGAATAACGATTTAACACTAAAAATCTTAAGTGTCATAGGAGAAAATAGGAAGAGTTCCGTGATACTGGTCTGGGGTATAATTTCTTGGATATCAGACATAACATAGATAGTTACAGCAAAATAGACTACATGAAATAAAAAGTTCTACATAGCAAAGGAAACCTCAACAAAAATAAAAAGATAAACCATGGAATTACAGGAAATATTTACAAACCTGTATGTAATAGGGGGCTAATATTGTCAAGAAGTAGCTAAGAAATTAGGGCAATTTAATAGCAAACAATAAATAATAATAATAATTTTTTAAAACCCTAAAACACACCAAACCAAATCAAAGAAAGCTAACTTTGGATGGGAGATTTAGCTCAGTGGTGCCACCATCTGCCTTGTAAGCACAAGGTCCTCATTTCAGTCTCTGGTGTCAAAAAAAAACAGAAAAAGCTAACCTACCCAGCCTGATTTTAAAAGTGGCAAAGAACCTGACACAGTTTTCACAAGTGACAAATAGCCAGCAGTTGTTGTAACCTATCATCACAAATCTTTAAGGAAATTTGAAGCGACACCATGGAGTGTTACTTCACGTTTCCTAGAATGTGTGTTATGAAATCTAAAAGAAAGATAAGAAAAAAATAGAAACCTTGTGCCCAACTGGTGAGTTTGTAACTTGCTGCAACTTTTAGCAAAAAGAGAACCCTTAAAAAATTAAAAGTAGAATTACCATATGATGCAACAATTTTATTTCTTGGCATAAATCAAAAGGAAATACCATAGCCATCTTAATGAATTTGCAATCTGTTGATTGCAAATTACATACAGTAGTGAAAAAATAGAAGCAAGGTGTGAATAATTGAGGAGTATATAGATTTCTCACTGCCATATAATTTAGCCTTAAATGTAGTATATATAGTGAAGTGTTTAAGAATGTATGCATAAAAGAATTTCCTTAAGTTGCCAATTACATGAAAAAATATGTCTTCAAAGTTTTTCTCTATCGGTACAAGCAGATTTTTTAAAAACAAGCTTTTACTATCATCTGCTTACTTCAACCAATTTGAGCCATTTAAAAATGACTAAAATTGTTGCTTCATGTCTTAAACTTTTAAAAATAAACCATTAGGAATTATAGCTATTTAGCATTAATGGTAGTACCAAAAATAATGGACAAATTTTATTTATGTAGGCATATGAAAAATTCTAAGTAAAGGAAAACCAAATCCTGTTTTTGTGGAAAAGTTCATATCATGAATAAATGTACTTTTTAAATTTAGGGACAACTGAACATAAATGTATTATAGGAAACATTTAAAAAGTGGAATTTAAACATATAGATGAATTAATAATGTAGGAATTTTGAAAAAGTATTCCTGCTTAGTAGTTT